TCTTCTTGCGCTAATTCCTTATTAACTGGTAATTCACATGCAGCCTATTATGACAATTAAAATTCAAAAACCGCAATTGACAAAGCTTAAGATAGATAATGTAAATTTAGTTCTAGTTGAATATATACCCTAGATAAAATATTTTCTAACATTTAATTTTTTGATGTTTCAAAATTTCATGGAGAACTATTAATAAAATAAGACATAATTTCACTTTCTATGTATTTTCGATGTCGACAGTTTACAGGTCAGTCCTCAGATGTAGCACGAACCGACTGAATTAAAACGTTTATCTATAGAGTAAATAAAGTTCTCAAGCAATTCATAGGGTTTAATCTTAATAGTTTCGTCTATTGAACCCTATCGCTTTGTTCTATCCATAGATGAATTGATACTTCGTGTTCTTAACATACGTTCGTTCTGGAAGCGGTACACTATTTCCGCCTTTCAGCTCTCGCTTGGCGCCATTTCCGAATTGTTGTATATTTCAATTAAATGACACAAGCTTCCAAATATAGAAATGCTAAAATTGTATCTAAGGTCAACTTTGGTGCTTTGTTTCTGTAAAAGGCTAAATGCAATCCAAATCAAGAAAAAGAGTCTAGGTTGCATGGAGCCTGTAAAAGGTCCGACATTGAAGAAGCTACATTTGAGCCTCCATCAAAGTGTAAAAAGTATCTAATAGGCAACGATTAAGTCAATCGAGCCAATCAATTTATCCAAAGTTGGCCAATCATCAGTAGATCAACAGAGCTCTCACGACCGACCATCTTCTGAAATTTGACGAGGATAAGTCTCTTCTGGCAAAAATGGCAGTGACGAGCGATGAAAAAGGGTAAGTTATCATAACGTCACTCAAGGCAGGTTGAGGCGATTAAAGTGTAAAGGTTCCCTTTAGGCAAGAGCTAAAACCGGATCTTATTAACAAAGGTACTGTTGTGAATTTAGTGGAGTTTTTGGAGACCGCTTTTCTAGAAACTTCCCTTAGGCAACCGAAGCATTACCCCAATTGACCGCTATAAATAGCTGTGCGGTTAAAGGCAGAGCATCCAAGAAAAATCAAATCTTAGCTGTCTCTAGTGACAAGCCAAAAAAATAAACATGAGTGAATTTAAATGGGATTGCATCACCTACTCAGAGTCGAGACTTTGTTCTTCCCGATCACGACCTTTCCCGATTTTTGCTAAGATCCTTTAATAGAAAGGATCGTGCATCTTTGGAAAGTGCAAAAAACTATTTTGACTAGTTTATCGCAAATTATGATATTGACTCGTCGAACTTAGAATTGAAAAGCTGTCTGAAAGATGGACGAGGGCCATCGCTAACAACGGCTAATGCAAAAGAGGACTTTTTTTATTTATTTTATTTATTTAGGAAATTAAGCGCAACTAATATAATGATCCGATATCTTCAAAGAAACGCAAATGGTTAAATGTTATGGAAACTCTCATAACTGAACTTTTAAGAGCTTCGTAAAGACCCTTACGATAATAGAAATTGCTGAATAGTACACTTAACACTGATAGCGAATTGTTTAATTTTGTTATTGCAATTTTATCTGTCAGGTGTATACAAATAGAGTTAAAGTTTTCAACTTTCAATCCAAAGATTTATTCCGGACGGATTTACTTACTATTTTTATATTAAAAGTTTCAGTCCGAATTACGGTGCACAAGTGGTACTTTTTTTAATATTTGCATTATAAAATTAATGCGTTTGTGTATTCAGGTCAAATGATTCGAAATCTTAAGAACGCAGTCTATTGTAATTCCTGCCGGCATTCCAAATTATCGCACCGATACCCTATACCCAAAGGGAACAGTCAACAGGACCTCCGATAGCAATCCATTTGGTTTGGAAAGAGGTTAGGATAAACGACAAATGGAAAAATTTATTTGAAGATGCCATCCCATTCAAACTCGCTCAAATATATATAAGGATTTACTTAATCTTTTAAAAATGGATATTCTACCTAATGATATTTGGTGCTTCCTTCGGTAATACATTTCAAAACGGACTAAGTAGATTATATATAGACCTAAAGTGAAACTTATTTTCATTTTACGGTCCTCTCGATCGATAAAATAAATTGGCTTATTATAACATACTTTCTTTTAAGCTCTATGTACTAGAATATTATTTCACGTATCGCGTGTGTCTATAGGCTTAAAATAAATGACGGAAAAACGTATAAAAAAACGCAGACTAGAAGTCTTTTGAATTAACTTTAACTTGTTTAAATGACAGATTTAACTATATGAAAAAATTATGAAATACAACACGCTATTAATGCCCCTCTTGGGCACGCACAGCCCACACAATACATGCTAGCTACCTTTACATTGCAGTTTGCTTTACGGATGATATAATATATGTTTGTTTTGTGCTTCATTGCTGTTACTTCTATGATGTCGGTGTCAATTTGTGTGCAAGTGTGCAAACTCGGGATTTTCTTTAATAATTTTTGTTTGTTTTTCTTTAAAGGCACGATCCAGGGAATCTTGGAGATGTTATCTCTTCCTAAAGACTCCTTCGACAAGAGGGTGTAATTACCCCAAACAATAGGGTAGTTTGAGTGATGGTTACTATCGCGCTAGCATTAGAGTTTAGTACAATAATAATTGTGCTCAGTATTGAAACACCGCATGATAATGAGGGCAACATACATTTAACAAAATTTATTTTATTAAGTAGCTGTGAAAACTGAAGGTTACAAACAAACGTAAGTACGTACCTGGGTTAAGTTCGAGTTGAATTTTCTGGCATCGTCGGCAATAGTCGTGACTTCGATAAGGATCTTTCGTTAGCTTTTTTCACATTGACAACAGGCGAGTCCGATGTTAAATTTGTTTTCACGGCTGACGTTTGAGCTAATGAAGGTTCAGTTTGGACTTCTTGTGTCTGCCAGGCTCCGAATAAAATCAGTGAAAAAATGAAAACGTGTGTCGGCTTTACCCCAAAATCCATAGCGGCTTCCGCTTATACAATTTGTTTTATGGTTTTATGAGCGTCACTGTAACGTGAAGTGGCTCAAATAAGGGTCTCGTCGATATAGTCTGAATCGAAGTTTTTGTTAGTCCTCATCGAGGTCGACTTTTGTTTGCTCTTCCAGCCGTCTCCGTTGAGAGGAAGGAACGGTAGGTGGGACTTGAAGACGCAGGCGGAGCCACGGCCACGAAAAAAGGCCATGGCACAACGATCGATGGTCAAGACCTCCTTTTTGTCAAGCAAACTTTCTTTTTGCTACAGTTAGAATAGAAAAACAGTTTTAACCCTAAGGAGATCAGCCTTGGATCTAAGCCAGTTCAAGAATGCATAGAGCGTTTTTACTGTTCTGGCGTAATCTACCAGTCAGCGTGAATACGCGCACGTTCCCGGAGCATTTCAGACTATACAAATATTCACTGATGTTCAAAGCACGTCAACTCAGACACATTACCTCTAAAGCTGTTCGTGTTCTGTTTGATTTCCTTTGCTATATGGAACAGCATTTTCTACTGTAAGTGGAAGAGCTTATAAAGTATTGCCTGCTCATTTTACAAATTACTAGAAGACGTTCCAACAAATGAAGGCTGCAGAAATTTTAAAAGGAGACTGATTGCCAAATACCATATGCAGACATACGCAGAAATAGGAACAACAAAGGCATTAAAATCAAAAACTGTATTTTCTAATTATAGCAATGTCTTTGCTATATTTTGTATATTCGACATACAAAACTTACTAAGTATCCTCTTCATTTACAATATTAATTTGAATGTTTAATTAAATAATAATAAGGTTCTATGTTAAACTGTATATAATAACTGTATATATAAACTGTACATCCATGCTTGCATTAATGTCTGCATATCACGGTGGACGTTCCATATAGCTATTTCTTTAATATACTCGATTTGAATCACTTAAGGTTTGAAAATGTCTCGAGTCACTAGCTATTTCATAACAAATAAGATGCAACTTGACGATGGTAAGTTGGCATCAAGGGAACATGCGCCTAATCCAACTGATTCAAACAATGAGTATTATGCATTATTGCGTATAGTTTTATGCGGAAAAAATGTATCACATTGTATTTAACATAAACGTGATAAAAGTATTGGTGGTTTTATACAGGTTTCAACAGGCATCAATGACGCCCTTCAGCGAGTAGGTTTTACAAAAGTGAGCTTAAATCCGAATGACCCCCATAGTCAATGCGAGCGGCATCAGATGAAGGCAATGCTGCTTTTTTTTTGAGATAAGTCCTTTAGTTGCTCGAATGAAGATAGAATAGCAACTTAAAGTATATGCACTACTGCTATGAGGTACGCACGCTCGACCTCGTAAACCCGCAGCCTCTACATGCATTCCTTTACCAATAATTCCAAAAATTATTTTCCAAACTTTCCAAAATTCCAAAAATTATTCCACAAACGAAGCGCTGCTATATAGATTTAAAGACTTACCGTGTGTAAAACTAGTTTATAAAACCTGCCTTGTCGTCGCCTCTTGGACGCTTGAAGCACAACCTAACCTAAAATGAATGTGTCGAAGTTTTGGTCCGGTATTGTGGTTAAACACTACACCAGTTGCTGCTTAGATATATCTACGTCAACGAGCTGTGTATTTTTAGGCTAGAAGCATACAAAACGAGCTCGATCTGTCGACCACTAACGAACTGACGTAACAAAGAGAAGTCTTCTTCAAGAACAAAGCGAGCTAAAAGTCTGCTGTGTAGCTTATACTTTTAGCAACGTATGTTAATGAACACTGATTTGCCTTTGCTGGTCACGTTGGTGATGTGAGCTGGCTACCAGATGTTTGATGAACACTTGAAAATTCTACCCGCCACACTGTGGAATAGTGTCCTGTAGATGCTGACATATTCAATTAGCGTTACAAAATTCTGCATGACAACCAATCGATGGGCTAAATATTATTATCAACTATTATAAACTATAACCACTGACAGTATAATACTTACTAACTCGATATCTGTTCAAGGAGGCACGCGCATCTGACTTTAAAACGTCAAACAAAACGTAGATTTATTTTCGTGAGTATGCTTTAAAATAATAAAGAATTATATAATAGTTGAAAGTAAATTGCACGAACTCTAGTCATTTAGACAACATGTTAACAAGGCACGCTTGGCGGCACAGGTGATTCCGAAGAATGTAATAGTTGCTTGCCATGAAGACAGATAACGTCAATAAGTAAATGCAATAACTCTGTGCAAATGTACATATGTTAAACTTACTGGGGAAAAAAAATCCGCTTCTTATAATATTAGTTATCATTATTTATCTGCTTTTTCTTATTATTATAACCTTTTTCTATATCGATTTCTACTGCTGTATAAAGCTTTTGATATAGATCCGTTATTTAATGACTTTCTGTACAATGGCTGGTCGCAGCACCACTTCATTGTGTCATTCACTCATCTTGGTCCTATTACATTTAAAACGAGCATCGTTTGTATTAATATATTACCTTTACTGTTATTGTTGTTACTGTCGTAATTATATCCACGTTGTAACAGGACTGGTAGATATTCGCGCTTTCCAACTAGAAGTAGGTCTAAAATCTACAAAGATTGTACGTTTTGATCTAGTTGATTAGGATATTAGTCGCCCCGTCCAGCAGAATGGAATCACATCACATTCATATTGTACTACCAAAATAATTTAGACATTTTGTGTTTCTTTTTTTTGTGACCGGTATAAGGCTCACTGTCTGTTTCCCTTCACGTATCTGCCTTCGTTGTATTATTACTTTTATTCAGTCATTTTTTACTTAGTGTAAGAAAACAGAGTAATCATTGTATTGATTCTTGTGTCGGCAAAATCTATCATCCGATTGGATCACCCAGTATGTTTTGTTGTAGTTTTCTTCTTTAAAAGTGTACTCGGCCGCTTCGAAGAGCACATATTCACAACTAGCACATCACAATCAGCTTAAAATAATAATTATAATCAAATTTTGTTGTTTTAAAACATTGAATCACACATTCTAGTTTCCTCAACACAAACAAATTGCAGTGACTGCACACACCATAACCCCGCTAAATGAACTCTTTTCAAGGTGAGAGCGACGAAAAGGAAATATGCGGCCTTGCTGTTGTCTTCACTTTCCTTCTTTCAGAAAACCCTATTGACTTCGTTTATTATTCCGTATTGACTGTTAGGACTAGCCAGCTAAATCGCTTCATTACAAACGCACTTCCGTTAAGTGTTCCTTGCAGTTCTACGGAAAAGGTAGAACCTGTAAAACTTTTGTTCAACTGAATTTTTGTCGTATGTAGGTAGTCCTATAATCTCCGTTAAACCTTTTATTTTCATCATGTCGTAAATGAACCGCGTTTATTTTGTATCTGATACAATTTTACATTTAAAATTTCCCCGTTAAAACTTTTTTCGTTTTAACGGTAAATCAAATTATGATCCACGAGCGCATCACCGGGGGCCAGTACGTTGTAGGACTAGCTACTGCGCATTCGGAGCTCGCCTCAAAAAGCCACGTTGAAGGTTGTTGATCACGTTACTTGCACAATTCTACACATATGTGTTATTCACTCAGAGGGCGCGAATCTCTCGAGACTATTGTGCATGCTAGCTTGGTTACACTAACAAAATGGTAACATGTCGGCTGTAGGTTTTACCATCAACATCCAACAGAACAATATTCTGTGTGTTGATTCCTCTATGCAAAATGACATGGGCATGACGGTTTTCGCTCAATAGTCACTGCCGCACGAGGGAGGGTTGGAATCGTCGAAAACGTTGAGCTGATACATACACGAGATAACCATAAAAATAAGATACCACAGAAGAAGGATTACACCGTATGTCCTGTTCATTTTCCAACGGGTAGCATACGTCAAAGCTGGCACGAGGAAAACAGTGAAAAGTACGCAGGCTGTTGAGTAAATCAGACCTAAAGGTGGTACAGGCATGAACAAAAACAACAGTCAAATGTAAGAAAGATTTTGAACTAGATAGGATATCAAGTCAGTGGCAAATAGGTCCATAGACATAACCCCCAGCAGCGCAGCCTTTTGAATTTCTACCATTATTATTTCATTATGTCTCGTCCTCAAAATATTCGAGCTTATCCTCACCTGAACTCTGTAATTCAACGGTGGTGCCAGGTTTGATGAGAATAGTCTGAATGAACCAAGGAAACCCAAGACCGACCAACACTTCAAAAATGTTTGTTCCTAAAATATAGCATACGGCCATGTCTCCGTAGCCTTTACGTACGACGAGAACGGCGGCCATAACGTCGGGAAGTGTGACCGAAACTGACAGAAAAGTAAGTCCCAATACGCTGTCGGGAATGCCGAACGTAAAACCTGTTAAGAAACAAAGTGTGTTACAAAAGCGAACGAGGATATTTTTTTTATGAGGTTCATTAGTGCACACCAACTCAGAAAGAGTTGGTTAGCCGTACTGGGTCTGTTTTAACTGTATGGATATGGCCCATTAGGCTTTCACAACCTCAAACAGCGAAACATGGCCTACAGGACTTAGTATTTTCCTTAATCTTTCTAATAATTAGTAAATTGATCTTCGATTCAGAATTGTGCTAAAAGGATAATTAGAGCAGACCTATTTGGATATATATATATATATATATATATATATATATATATATGTGGATATAATCGTTTGGTGAGGTTTATCTTAGTGACTAAATGGGGCGAAGAGCAAAATAAAGCCAAATATTTCAATCTCTATCATGTAGTATTATGCTAGCTATAATTTTTACCCACCAATGATAGCCATCATCCAGACAAGAATATAGGAGAAGGCTGCAATGAATCCGCCAGATAGAATGAACGTGACGAGGTAGTACTTTTCATAACCAGGTTTTTTACAGTTAGGAATGAGGAATGAAAGAACATAAGAAAACGGCTTCGTTACAACGTAGAATATCTTTCGTGGTATATTCAGGTTTTCCCAGGCCTTCGGGTCGATTACAGGCTCATCGATCACCAATTCCGCGCTGCCTGCACCGCCATTTTGCGCGTTCATTGTAGCCTCAAATTGTTTCAGTGTATTTGCGTCTATAAGGCAGATAGAGAATGTTTACCGTTTGATAAAATTGGAACTTACGTTGAACCGATACCTAGGCCAGCCACCACCGTAAACTATTTCAAGAGTTTTAAAAGGATCAGACAAGATATTTGTGATTATCTACACGTATCCAAAAAATCCTACTCTTGCTCCGAGATGGCCTTGCATGACAGAAATATGCTTTCCTTAGGTCGGGAAAGAGCCATTGTTCTATGTTCAAGATGCGAAGTACAATCTGTAGCTGTTACATGGTGCTACATCGTTACAATATTCAGTGCGTTCCTGAAATTTGATATATGGAGAAACGTGACGCATATGGGACAGGGGCTACATATTCCAGTCTGTTTTGTTCTAGCACGATGCCGATTTTAAATTCTAATATAATTAATTTTTTCGATAAATAATAATTAGATGCACACGGATCAGAAATTTAGTGCGATGCGTTATTGGATTTTTTAATGGTTTCAATTTTAAAAGGTGGGCTTATATGAAATTTTACATTTCGTCCATTTTTTACTAAATAATAAATAAACAAAATAACTACCAGTCCCAAAACTACGATTTCAAAGATAAACAAAGGAGGTGAGTTACATCTTATAAAAAATCAACTAAATGAACGTATCGTAGTTTCGCACATGTTGTTGTACCATATGTCGTTGTCGTTAAGAGCTTGTCACATGTAATTGTTTTTGAGAGAAATTTTAACGAATATATTGGCACAACGCATTGTTCGAACAAAACTATGTGGTCATTATATGTACCACTTCGTAAATAACCATAATTGTAAAACAGATTTGGCCATGAATAATTACTTTTTACTAGGACTGTGCATAACCACGATCGTTATACAGGCGTCAGTCCAATCAAGTTGGCATCTGAAAACAACGTGCTTACATTGCCGCTGTTCCTCCTCCCTTCTCAAGTAGCAGACAACTCGTTCGTCTGCTAGTAGTTGGCGTATTCAAAATGCGACTTCATACTTTGCGGCAGAATTTGACATGGATTACGGTAGATTGGCCTAACATAGAAATAAATTATTATAAAGCATCGGCTTCTTTAGCCATTATCAAGGCCCTTTTTATGGAAAAAAAAAAACATTAAGCTACGTCGAATGACTGACTGCTTCGAACGATATAATTACTAGCTCTTATGTCAGCATGCCTGCCATGTTAATTCGAATATTATCAGAGTATCATACATATCTTCTGCACTTACCCAATTTCGAAATGATATTGTGATCGTTGCTATCTTTGATTGTTTTCATCTCGTTCTCACTAAAGTGGGTATAGCTCTCGATCGTCGTAATTTCCGCTGACGCCATGAAATGCACGAAAAGTAAAAAAAATTGAGACGTGAAAATGTACTATTACTTTCTGCGGTAATTTTTAAATAAGTCCCCTCTAATCGGGACATTTGTTCTACCACATCCAAGGCCCAGTTGATCCTACCCTTAGTGTTGCTCTAACTGACCCTGATTTCAGTTCTGCTGTTTTTAAAACAGCAGCATTTATTTATCAATCGTGATGCTACTTTTTCAGATATAGGTAATTTCGTTTATCCATTTTCAATTTATCTATTATTGTACAAGCAGGCAAAGGAGAAAAGCTAGGCTGTTTGGAAAGGTAGACATAGAAATTGGTACGTTAGTAGATACTTTCATCCAAAAGGATATGCAACTAATTACTGTCGAAATCAGAAGTAATAGTGTTTATTTCGACACAGATTTGCATATAAATAGCTATTTTCACACTTAATTTTACCTCTGCAGTAGCTCTCTGTTGTTTTTGCCAAATGTGAATATTTTTCAAGTCAAAACAAACAAAAAGCTGGCTAGTGAATCCCATGCAGCGGCAATAAAAGTGATGGGACCCGTTGTACTTGAACTAAATGATACTCCGAACGATGTTCGCATAGCAGGTTCATTATTGGTTATAATAATAAATAAAATGCGACCACGTTTTCATACGCTTCTTTAAGAGTTGCATAGAAAGTCTCTTTTTTTTTTGCTTCTCATGAATATTTTTTCCCTAGAAAGATAATGAAGTTTGACATACGTAGAAGTTATCCAAAATCGTATATTTTATTATATTTAAAAAAACATAAGCTAAATTTATCTTAAATGGCAACCCTTGCGACCGAGAACATGAATTTAGAAATTACGAAACCTACCTGGTTGCCCCTTGCCTTCAATAGGGTCGTCAAAGTCCTGGATGCCGGTGATGGCCTTGAAAGCGCTTTCGAGTCTTCGATTGAATGCCATTACTAAGCCATAAGCCAAATAAGATAGCAGACAGATGAGAGCCTCAATCCTACAGTACGTATAAAATGAACATATACCGTGTGACAAATAAGTATTAAATTTTATGTCGCACTAAACTGACGAAAAAAGACGTAGGACATTTTCTCTTACTGTTTGTGCCTTTATTCCGCCCTTTAGTTTATGTGAGTACAATTGGCGGAAAAACGAAGCTAATAATATGCGAACTACAATATTCGCAGTTGTTGTTTGGGAGCCATCTTTGTTGAATACGTCAGACCATGTACTTCAGCTCTACAAATATCAAATATTATTGAAATTAATTCTAAATTATGAAAGAAGACAGATAGTATTTTTCATTGACCCTTATTGCCACCTGTATTGATTCAGTTCTTCCACTATATTGAAATGACAGATTTCACCCCATTCTCGACGCGATGGCTGAATAAGTTTGCTTTTCGACGTGGTCCGTAGTATTTTGCCAATCCAAATAGGACAATTAACGTTTCTGAGTGCAACCGTTCAGAGTGAGTGAACTTTCTATTCTTTAATTGGTTAAGCACCGATTACAGAGCTATTCAGCGTAATCAGCGTGCGTTCGTCTGCATGAAGACGGTCCATAACGTATATACTCTTTGCTTTATCAGAGAAGACACAGCAGATGGCTGCATTACCTAATTCAATTGCAAGCTGACAATGACAGCGCATCTTATTATATATACTACGGAAGCCCCACATCAAAGACGCCTAGCAGATTCGCCAACTTTCAGAAAAATAGCGGGCCGCATAGTAAGTTGAAACTACAATGGAAACGTACAGCTTATGCCTCTATCAGACCCGGCTTTGCATGCTTTATCCGAGATATGCATAGTTGAATCACGTTCATGGCCCACATCCATAACAAACTAAGTTGGGTCCCATCTAATTATTTGTCAGCCTTTTAAATTGAACGGATTTGGGCAAAATCTCGCGAAGAAAAGAAGCGCATTGTGCTATAATCAACGTAATATATGCGCATGCGATAGGTTATTCATTTCTCTCAGATTGCCTCGTTTGAACTATTAGTATTTTTCTTAGTAAAATGAACTCAACATTGTTCTCAGTGTATACTCTTTAAAAAAAGTTCAAACAATTACGAGCTCATTCAAAATTATTTTTCGGCTATGTAAATGTTGTGTACCGTACTGTAGGAGAAATCAGTTGCAAGATCAGAGGGCGGAAGATGCATGCAATATAGACAGTAAGGTGAATCCCTCTATAAATCGATCGTGTTTGGTCTGAAAAGTTTTTGATGAAAATGTAATTAGAAAGTATATTAGAATAAAGTCCCAAGTTATCTATGTGTGTATGTAAAATTACTAACCAGTCGATTTGGCTGTCCATGAGTGAACAAAGCACGATCACCATACAGAGAAGAAAGAAGAATGATGATCGATAAAGGGGCCACGCGTGAATCTCAACGGAACGTTTGGCAAAAAGGGCCGAAATTGATAGCACACCTGCACCATTGAGTACACCGGAACCGAGGGTTGTCGACAAACCCAGATCATTCTGTAGATTTTAAAGTAAATGAAAGCTGATTTTCGGAAGTTCAAACAGATACAGTATTATGGACGAAAATATATTATTTTCGTTAAGTTTGTTTAGTTAAGCTTGAAATTTGGAAGTTATTCAATGTTAGCGCTATGTTATACAGGGTAACTAAATTGGCAGTTATACCTCGACAACGTTGACTCCAATGATGGACGTCACCAGAGCAGGAATTGAACTCGCAGCAGCCATGAAAGTTCCCCCTGCCACATCAGGATCCACTTCCAGATCTATAATATCGAAAACAGGCGGACATCCCTATCTAGAGAAGATGATATAAAATATGGGAAAGCCGGGATATCAATTGATTCTCTGGCTCTTAAGAGCTTGATTGCCAATTCTCAGAATGTAGTCTTACCATTTAGACCTTTTTGATTACAAGGCTTACGGTTGATCGTTGGCGTTCTTTGTGAGCCAGCGCCACCAAACTAATTTATACATATATATATATATATATATATATATAAACTCACAATTAATAATGCAGTGCAGTGCTGGCACAAAGTACTCCTTACAGAGTACCGATATAATGAGAACCATTGAAATGGCAGTCGTGATGTGGACGATAATTCCTCCGTTTTCTCGTATCTTTGGAGTAATAATCGGACGTGGAAACTCTTCGATGGCAGCGGGGCCGCATTTTACTTCAGTTCCGTTAATTAGGATCGTATGGCGATGGCCTGTTCGGCAAGAAATAAAATATTTATAGAAGCTTGCCTTTATTCTATCAAATATAGTTTTACAAACATGTATGTAAATACACTACGTTCAATATGCTAAGCGGAAGTATATTCTTTAGTATAAAAATTTATAAATAAGACATTTAAAGCGATAGCTTACAATATTTTTGGTGACAGCTATATGCATACTTACGTGAAGATTGTACGTGCATGGTAACATTGTCGGAACTCTGGGCAATCGCCGTGATATGCCCATGGGCTTCCTTATGGTCTACGGCTCCCTGAGCCACCAAACCCAAACAACCGAAAAAGGTTACCAGGAGAAACAACGTTTGGAAGCTTCTTGGTGAAATATACTGAGCTGCGGACGCTACTGTTGAAAAAAGCAATCTGAATGCAGCAGCAAGACATCTGTGCAGCGGCCAATGGGTCCCGTAAGCTTTCATCCCGGCTCTGTTCCATTAAAGGTCGGCAGACGGTTCACCAGGTCCATATAAATAAGGAAAAACATGATTCCATTTATTTAGCTCACTGTCCTGAATGGAGTCATGCCTATAAAATCGTTTACTATGTAATTAAATGCTAATAGCATAGCTAATGCTAAATTGGTTGCTAAAAATTCAGGAACTTCGAATTATCCTGACACGTGAAAGTAAGGATCTGTGTTTCGACTTTACATGAAGGTCAGTTTCGACGAGAAGCGCTTAATGATTAGGTGGCGTAGAAAAAGTCATTGTAATCACGAATATGATTGACTTAAATGAGAATACTACACTACTTACAGATTAAAATTATATAATATCTGTACCAAATAGAGTTCAATGGAGCTACGTCATTACTATAGAAACAGACAGCTGAATTACTAATGAAGCCCAAAATTGAAGGTATGTCAGGGTCTTCCTTTAAACGCCGAATTTGCCTTAAAATTCCTTCATTTTCTTAATTATTTTCTTATTCAATTCTTACAATTTCACTGCAGTACAGAATCACGTTGCGTCATAGGCACTGATAAAGATAGCACACACATTCATGTAATTCTTCTGGAGGTTGTCAATCTACTTAGCTAACGTAATTATCCAGCTCAGGAAATAACGGACCAGGCGTCCTTTTGATTTTTTTTGGCAAGCTTTCCAGTGGCAAAATTGCCCCAAGTCGATTTTCGTGTTATTCCGTTGCTTCTTTACCAGACTCTCGAACAACCGTCTGTGGCTTCAAAACATAAAATGACACTTCGATAAATGCTGCAGTACCTGAGACTTATAATAATAAGGTACTTGTGCTTAACCACCGATTTCGTGCACACTGTAGCAACGTTCAGATTTATTGACTGTAGCATTCTACGTGATAGCAGAATCTTACGACAAGCCTGTCTGCAACACAAAAACATGTTAAATTTCTACAGAAACGCCTACATACGTTACAATAACAGTCTATGTGGTGACAGTCTGGTTCTACTTGCGAGTACTGCGCAGATCGTTTTCTCTGACAGGTATTCTTTTCACGTTTTGTCCAAAATCGCATTCTAAGTCTATTCTAATAATAGTCGGACATTGTCAACATAAACGGAGCCACCTCGGAATCAATATAACGATACGGAGCTCTAAATAGCCGATATCCGCTGTCGTTGTCCGACGCAGCGACCTTCGCACCTGTTCAAGTGAATCGTTACGAACTCTGATTTCTGTGATTCACTGCCTATTGGACCCACCGAGAAACTTCGCCGCGACAGAAATCCAGCTCTTGTTTTGTTCGTGCTGTTTGTCTTTTTTTAGTAAATAGAGAGAAGGCAGTAAACGAAGAGAAACTCAGCAACAAATAAAACACTCGAAAAAAAAAAGACAACAGAAAAATACTGATACATTCGGCAGGAACTAATCTTGACTAAGCCGTCTCCCCGGTGCTTCTCTTGCGGGCAGAGCAGGCCGCGTTGTGAACCAGCAGATACACATAGTCAGGCCAAAACTATAAATAAGAATTCACAGTGCAAGCACCGTCTTCAGAGCTTTCACAGTTCTATCACGTAAATATCTTCGATTCAAATGTTCCAGTGTCTTAATTTTAAGCGTCTAGACTGTATTGGAAAAAGCTGAATCGGCTGAAAGATTTATTTTCCTCACATTAAATAAACAAAAAAGTTATGAAAAGCTAACCTCCTAACCTTAGAGGTTACAGGCTCGACAATATCCTTTTCAGCAGCAAACAAAAACATTTGAAAATATAATACGTACCCTTTAAGCAGGAATACACAAGGCCGATAGTGCGAATAACTAGGAGCTTATCTTAGACAGTGACGCTATGTGTCATGGGTTAAGCTGATTTCTTGACGATGAAGTTAATTTTGTTTGATTGGGGGGTCAGGTTAGATCCTAGCAGACCAATTCTGGGGGTCTGAGTATGATTACTTTGGCTCAGCCCAAGAGTTCATTTAACGTTCTCACTGCTTGGGCTGATCGCCCAGGTAGAACACTTCTCATACGCTAAGTAGCAAACCAGGCGGTTTAAGTGGAAACTAAACTTTCATTTATCTTTCTATTATAGCTACACTTTTGTGAAGCCTAGAAAATTATTTAGTTATTAATTGAAATCTCTTAATTGATTATTTATAATAAATAGGGGCTGGATAAAGAAGATATTCGACTAACGAAAGCTGATTTTGCAACCCTCTATTACCTATTATTATAGGGCGGTACAGAGTGGAGCAGACATACACCTGATTCAAAGATAGCATGTGGTCTACAGAATAGAGGTGTATCTTCATCAATAGTAAAAGCCATTTCATCATTATGAGGGTGAAGTGTCAATTCTTGCGTTTCGATGGCCGATATTTAAAATTTGCGCGCGCGTGGGGAGTGAACGTAAGCAGTCGTGTTCAGTTATTATAAACCCATAGAACCGCTAATAGAAAACTATGTTTAAGGAAATTTTACAAATCCTTGAATCATATATTCCCAAAGACGAATTTAACTATTCATATCGCCCATAAATATATCTATGCTAGATTATTTCATATACTATAGTACATTAAGCTCGATGTGGACAAGTCCCCAAATCTAAGTACGTCAGGAATTTGTCCCCATCAAAAGGCGAAATAGGCCATGCTGGATTTATCTAGACCTTCTCCAATAGGCTAATCACACAAATAGTCATTTTTTACTGAATCCCGTGTTAGCTACTTTCTGCATAGCAGCGATTGGTAGCGATTAATATATAACCTTAGCAACCTGAAATTGGCGTGGAAAGCGTTACAGATCCGCCTATCTTTTAATCAGTCTCGTATGTTGCACTGTCCTCAGTGATATTCAGATAATACTTAACGTATACGGTTTTTGCTGGTTGTTGTATTAGTCTGAACCGATATTAGATAACAACATTAACATAAAAAAATATTATATTCCTGTGATCAATCTCGTTGATACTTAGCATATGATCCTTGAGCATTTTCATTAGCCTTGGAAAAGGAAGGATGATTTCAGAAGGTAGACATACGATATACACACGCTTATTTCAAAGATTTCCATATTCCTAACGGACAGATTCATTCATCAGAAAACCCGTTTCGTTTTCTCAGGTGTCAGGAACAAGAATAAAATGCGTGTAGTTACTTTTTCTCGAGATGTCATTGTCAAAACTTTAGTTGAACTTGAAAAATATAACTGGCCTACTGCTAGTTGTACTTAGTTACGCTTGAATTCAATAACGCTTTGTCGCAGAAAAAATAAACACACTAATTTACGTACTCGCAAACAATTGATATCTACTCCAACAGAACAAATGAAAAAAATACCATAGTGATGATCATAATAAAAATACATAAAACGAGCGCTCACTCGGTTCAGTTGATTTGTTTTTATTAGATAATACTATATAAGCCTGTAAAAAACGATAATCAAGCAAATTGTTGTTTACGGATCTCCATGGTCTGCCCGACAGATTTACTTTCATATCGCTGAATAAGACTCAGCTGTTTCGTGTGTGATAGCTTACCGAGTTTGCACTAATATCAATCAACCTGCCTCTGAATCAATCTCGCATAGTTTTTCCGCTTAAGCGAACTGTTTTACAGATGGTGTGGAGACACACAAAACGTACGTCTTTGCGGATCGTATTTACATGTTAGGCTACGAAACATGACAGGCGCTTCTACCTTGAGGCATAGGTAGACGATACCGAGAACTCTTCGGAGCACAGATATCTTCGTTCTGTTGCTGAACGTATTCCAACGTGGCACCGAACTGTATGAACACAAAGACACTGAATATCGTCACGGTCACATCATGTCATTACATCCGTCGCATGGAGAGCCCATTAGGGTGAAGGTACCATCCTCAGTCGATTCGACGAACTAAACAAACGTATCGCGTATATAGTACTAGACATAACCAAATATAAGTCTGCTGTGGAGGTCCTGGACGCTGTCACTCTATAAACGCAACAATCGAAGCTCTAGAGATTCGTCCATGGAAAAATACTCCTCAAAATCAATTGTAGTGTGTGCGAGTTATGCTTGAAATGGAAGATAATACTTCTAGTGCCTACTTGGTAAGTAAGTAAATAATAGGTTCTTAATAAATAAATACACACTACAAATTTTATTGATTATACATACAAGGGAAAAAGTGAGTATGTTGCTGCGTATGGTCCAGGTGTGCTCGATCAGCGATGACCAAAAACAAAACTTACATTTTGCAAATTCTAATCTATTTTATTGTTTTAACATATATATATGCGCTAGTCACTCAGGTGAATGACGGAGCCTATCAAACTGATAACGACAACAACAGTATACGATTACATGAGTCATACATTCTTCAACGTCGGAACTAAGTCCAGTTAAAACTTACAGAAATGGCGCATCTCCAAATGAAGTTCAGAAGTGAGTCTAAAGCCCTTCAGCCTCGAAGCCTTCCAGGCTGCCTGCGGACACTAATAGCCACCATCCATCAACGATTGAAGTACCTAGATTGTAAAGTTCACTAATTTATGCGAGAGTCACGGCGAGCTTCCGCCATCGACGGAACACCGATCAGAGACACAGAGGGAGGGCGAGCGAATGAAGTGAACAGGCCGTCAAATAACGGCGTTTATGGCGCTGACGGGCTGTGCTGTTGTTACGGCGTGTGGTCCTCTCACTTTTCGTTCTCACGATACGTAACAATTTTGGAGGGGGGAGCAATAAAGTGAGTAAATGGCTATGCTTGTTGTGACCAAATAGACTACACCTTCGTTTTGTTCATTTCCGTCAAATCAGTCACTGATTCTATGCGCTATCAACGTATTACAACTGTACCTGTCGCGCCAACTTTAAGGACTTTATCGACTAGTCTATCTAGATAAGTAATGGTCAGCTCTTAACAGTAAAATAAAAGAAATTGATTTTCAATTCTTGAGCAGCGGCAAACACAAGTCTCAAAATGGATGCTCGTACAAGCTAGCATAAAACAGACCATTAATATGCATTATAAAATTGTCATCGTCTTATTCAGCTAGTGTAGCCCTAGAATCCAACACAGACATCCAATATAGCTAAGCTAGGATTGTTTGTAGGCTGGCTAGGGAGTATCCATAGAGAACGTTGTCATTCTCTGCGGCCTTCACTGCCCATCCCGAAAGCACCTGTCACTAGGACAAAAGCCGAAAGTTCCCGCACGAGGTGAACTGCTTGCGTCGTCTGCCCGTCCCCTATGGGGTAATTATGAACGTGTACACATTTAATCTGTCCGCGTAAGACATCGTCAATATAATTTGACTCAAATATAGACGTTGATAGATGGTAAGTGACGTAATATTGGTTAAATAACTAGTTCTAGGGCAGGATTAACATTTAATTGAAGTCGTTTGCTATCTTCCAATACGATTTTACTTAAGCCTCAATTTAATTGTTTTTACTAAACTTTATCTAGTGTCGGTGTATTATCAAGATGTAATGAATTACCTATGTTTTTATAGGTATGATTCACGCCGTGGTCGATCTTATCAATCACCATCTACGGGACACGATTTTTGAAACAGCGAAATCGAAGCTCACCTCAAATAGTAAATCAGATTGGATAAGTACCGTTCAGAAGCAATCTATAGTTATGTAGAATCCTATACACGAGAACTCAGCCCCTACGAATGTCCACTCACAATGAGAGGTTCCGCTTGCACCTGTATAGAGCAAAAAAGCGTTCTTTTTTATAGAGACGCTGGTTTAAATCGGTCGCTAATTTACGACTTAATTGAAATGGGTATACGTTGGCTTACCATATAGGCGACACGACCCTTCGACCAAAAACAACACGTATTTGTCAACGAGACGAATTATATTATGGTATTGATATATAACAGAAGTCTTGATACCAGTTAGCTTTCGGGACGTACGAGTAATGTTTGTGATATAGAAGGGTAACCCAGACAATTCAAAGACTAATTTCTCATGTGGCGTACTTAGATTTTTCCTACTTGCTCAGTTACGAGGCTACTATCGTTTTTCGAAAGCCTATCAGTGTTGACCTTGTATCCGCTGTACACTTTATACATACACACAGTCTAGCGACAATTGATATACATCATAACACTGAATAAATAATTTGCACCGTTAGAGTCTCGAGTAGCTGTGTACTTTTTTTGTTTTTGCGGAATAAAGGAGCGAGTACTATACGATCCAGCCATCGATGTGTGTCTATGCGCCGATATCATTGTCATTCAAAATGCCTGCCGTTTTGCCAAAAGGTCACATGTTAAACACGGGATCAGATCGAATGCTGCGAATCTCGCGTGCATCGCTCTGGCTCCAAACGAGCACGCTCGCCCAACCGTACAGATACCAACAGATATGAAGACACGTATGAATGTACGTAGAGAAATTAAGCCATTTTTAAATTGTCAATTCGGTTCGAGGTCTCATGTGTGTGAAGTATATATTTTCAATTGGAGTTTATGCTGGCTGCGCTTCAACAGAAAATTAATATAATTGGATGTATTGGTCATCATGTTAGCTACAGGCAAAATGGAAAAAGGATGCTAAAAAAGCAATACTAGCAAAAACCATTATGTAACTGAGTAAGATTTTCTTTCAGATGATGCGAACTAAATTCGAACGAGGTCCATCTATACGAAAAATAATACTCGTCACGACCGCGGACCAGTCCAATGTTCCTAACCTATCTATACTATTCGCTAGCAGACGGCTTAAGGCCAATTCAAATCGACCTTGGTGCTTTCGATCGAAGAGTGTAGCTAGCTCAGTTGACGCTCGTCCTTTCAAACTTGTTTAGAACTTTTTCTTTCTAGATTGTGTCCTACAATCTAGAAAGAAAAAGTTTCGCAACCCGTTTAAATCAGATCCGTCTTACATATATGTACAGTAGATAGAATGCAATAAGGTCTACAATCATTTTGTTGGCCACACGTAAGATTTGATGACGTTACAGGCAGATTTGCTCTAGTAGGCGCATCTATGTATCGAAAGCTGTGCGTTACGATCATGGTATGTGCATCGACGCACACGTGTTAGCTGGTTCAACGTGTAACAGGCGTGACCCCAATAAATTGCAGGGCCGACTTAATTAACGCGATTTAAATCCGGTCGTAGATAGCATCACACTCTTGTTGCTGGTAATAAAGATAAAGCGACCGATATCACCTCCAGTAGGCCAGTAATGGGACACATGTAATGCAAGCGTCTCGTAGAGACAACTATTGCACCGAAGCAGAGGTACTGTAATTACCGGCATCTTATCGTTGTCTATGCTCTGGCCTAGTTGGATAATTGACCCTTTCTATTAATCTAGTATTTTATTCGACTCGTCGTTATTGACGTTGTGTCCTAGTAAGGCCTGACGAGGACTTACGTTGAGCGAAGTCAAGCCTGCGGAATGGACTGTTAATTTAAGTCAACTAATCTAAGAGTAAAAAAGTGAGACTTTAACGTCGTTAGGTGCCTCATTTCAACTCCTATGATATTTAATTGCGTCATATAATCTTTGTTTGAACAAACTTAAACAAGCCCAATACGATATTGAGAACAATAATAACAAAATATAATTAAAGTTAACCAAATAGAACACCATACACACGATGTTTGGATAACTTAGCTATCAATTGAGGATTGGCTTAGCTGATACATAGATGATCGTATGTAAATGAAAAACTCTTGATTGATTGGGTAACGGTAGCCAACCGTCACGGTAAGTGCTATGTGGCTATTGGAATTATACCGTTTGTGATTTTTAAAACTGCAGTGTACTAGATGGTTGAAAATCAGTTTTCTGCCTAAGCAAAATGCAGAAACGCCGAAAAAACCACCAAGGCCAAAAAAGGTCGATCTCAATATTTGTCATTGAGCAGCATATTTCCTGTCTTGAATCTCTATAGGACTCTTATTTTAAACGAATGAATAATCACATGTGCCTATGATTAAATACGCTGTATAGGAAGGCAACCGGAAAATGGCAGCTACAGCTCACTCGTAGCGGTTAGCACCAGTAAGGATGAGTAATTCAAATGTAGACTTCTTTTTTTTTTTTGTTTTTTTTTTATGGAAGTTATAGCATCCAGGCTCATGGCAAATGAGAAACATATGTTGATATTTGATAAAGGTAAGGAATGCCATAAAGCAATTGAGTGGATTAAGAAAAAACAGACATCCTATTAAATTAGGTTATCAGACAAAGTTTTTCTCAGTCGAAAACCGGTTATGATGTCCTCCATATAGGCACCACTTGTAGCTGCTTCGCACACTTAATAAATGGCTGTGAATTTCTTCTAACGAGAAGATCGCTCGAAACATGTTCTATCATTGCAAATGAACTAAGTTAGGAAAAACCACATGTGGCCGAAACGGTGCAGCACCGCAGTATAAGAATACGCGATGCTCCGTAACATTCGAAACTTCATTAAATGATCTGGCTTCTAATTTAACTTCTTCTGATAAAAGGGGTAATTTTTCGCTTTTTTTAGCAATTTTATAGGACATAGATGCTCATAATTTTACTATCCGTGCAGTGGAACTTACGAAATTACGTGCAGTAAGTAATAATCGTCCACATTGTTTTACTGAAAACTAGACCCAGTAACGATGCTAAGCAGCCGCTCACCTCAAATCATTTTTATGACGCACAGCGTCAGCCCATCGGCAAACTCACCTTTGGCAGCGACGAGCCATGAAAGGTGTCCTAACCTCCTCAAGCTTGCGGTTCTCCAGTAAACCTCTAGTCCTAAAAATTTATCTCACTATAATCGCTGCCACCCATCAAAGTGAACTTTGGGTCTTGCTCTTGGCATAAGGCCGACAAAGATGACCAACACGCTATGATGGCGTACACTGCACAGTTTAGTAAAAACTTAAAACTTCTTGATTAATCTTGGATCTTCCGTGGCCCTTCTGTCGCATAAGCCCTCCTAGTGCGATATCACCTAAGTTGTCGTTATGGCTTTTGTCCTTCTTGTACACCAAATGTTAGCGCTGCATTTGCTAGTTAGAGATCTGCACACGACAAATCGACATGTAATCGAAAAAATTTTTTCCGAGGAAAACCTCGTCGTCTTCCGTCTTGTAAGCTGCCCGATCCGCGCTAAATTTCACACGACCCTCACAGGGGTGCACCCCTGACGAAAACGCTTCTAGGCAATACAGTCAGTCAACCAAGTTTGCTGGAATGTGAATGTCAACCTGAGATGTCGCACAGACCTCCAGAGAGAAAATCCAGTGGCTTGCGGGGAGAAAGGAGGCTCACTAGTGCACGCGGTCAGGCAGGTAGACAGGACACAATGCACGGAGCGTAACTGCTCCAATAGAAACCACTTGTTATTGTTGTAGGCTGACGTGACGAAATATGAATACGCCTCTATCTGTGCGCGTTTGTGCGAGTGTACATCTGCGTTTGTTCCCTATCTACGCTTGTGGCTTGTGTGGTCTGTTGGAGGACAAGACGAGCTCGGAGTCTGTCTTGACCAATGCCTGGACGATGAGCTATACTACAGGCACCGCGGCGAGGAGCACGTCACCACACGGGGAAAGGGGGAAAATGTGGCCATTGTTGTCCCCATCAATAGCAAAGATGATAGAAACGCCTGTCGTTACCACTATTGTCTACGACGGCAGACAAACACGAAATGATACTGCTACTGTTGGTGCGGCAGAAGTCCAACGCAGCATCGTGGGGTCTTGGCCAGAAGGCGTGGGCTACCAAGAGAGTTGGTTTAGGAGCAGGTAGATAAGCAGAAGGATTAAGTTAAACGAAGCGCTAGAAGCTAAGATGCTCATGTTATTCTATTGCCATTACTACTCAGTGACTAACGTAGGGCTTGAGCAGGTGGCGGAGTCGGGCTGTAAAAGGAATATAGATGTCAAGGACACCGGCACGTATGGCAACATGATCTGGCAGTTGCTATAGGAATAAGACCCAGTGACACCGGGAAAGATACCCTTTATTCGGGACGGGATATAGCAGAACTTATACTACTAGAAAAAGTGCTACTATTGAGAAAAGTATATACGAAACCAAAAATAGGGGCACGTGTCCATAGTGCAAATGTGTGACAGTGAACGAAGGCAACAATCGTGAGTCGTATGGTTTGCTAAATGCTTCGACCTGGTGGGTAAACTTTGCCCGGTGTGCAAAAAACACGATAACTGAAAGTAACTATCTAATAATTGGACAAGGATGCTGAAACCTATCCAACAGATAGGTTCCTATTTTTAGCTAGGACGCATTCTTATTTATAAAACACTCACGCTGGAAGATGCTTTCACGTTCTCTGAAAAGACAGTAACTTCCGAAGTGCAGAAACAGCGACGCTGATACATCGAAGCAAACTAATCAACCATACACATATGAATTTTGAGAATACATCTGATCAATCTGCCAAGACAAAGGGTTTAGTAAAATCAGGCAGAATAACGATCAGCCTTTTCGAGCTCAATATTTGCCCTTTCGGCTGTACGTCGCTCTAAATAAATATACAAATTCAATCAAAAAAAAAAACTTGCGGCTTTTATTGTAAGAAAGACTGTGCCATAACATCAGTTTATCTTTGTATAAATTCGATTATCTGTAAGAATACTAATCCGATACAAAAAAACGATCCGCCTAAGCAACCATATCTTAAACCTATGTGGATTAGCAGCAAGAAGTGCTCGTCCTATTGAGGCATGTTTGGATTTAAGGGTATTCAAAACCATCTAAAAATAGATAAACATTTCAACCAACGTGCACGCTTTTTTACTATCGACCAAATAGTTATTTCGGGTGTCAATAATACCTTATAACTAGTGACTATTTTTGTATTGGTTGTGTGATCACATATGTAGATCGCGCCATGCACCGGATATACGTTTTGAGGAGGCGGATATCTAAAAGGAAAATATCCAGTCTGGTTTCACCAGGGTCATTATGACATTTGCAAAAATCGATGGCACGAAATATCCCACCAGATATTCAGGATTGATTCCGCAATATGAGACTGCTTCAATGCCACCTTTGACTACCCCAGCCCCGAAGACATCTCCTGCCCCAGAATTAGGGCGATGTAGACTGAAGTCTTGACGACAGGTAAATGCTAAACGTATGTAAAAACATATCTGAACATAACAGACTTACTGCTGAAGCAATTTCGAGACAATTTATGTTTTTAAAGCAGCTGCTAAAAAACGTACACGATTTAATTGATAAGTTTGCGGCAAAAATTCCTTGTCGGACCTCAAGATTATATGAAATAGATATGTTAGCTGTTTCTACAGAACTCACTGTTTATGTATGTAACATTAGTTATTATTTTCAACGCTTATCACGTTTGTTCTTTGTTGGATGGAATTCAGCGTTTACTATAAACATTAGATTATTTGCATTTGTTTACTTTTTACAAGAGCTCGAGAGCGAATAAACCGAGGCAGAAACGGGAATATGAAGCGGTTGGTTATTCTGTTACAATTTCATATCGTTATGATATTTTCGTTAAAGATTCCTAGTTCCGTAAACAACAGGTTATTTATACAAAATAATAGTTTGGCCTAAAGCGTCAAGATAAAGAAATAAAGAACATATTCGTTATAGAGATAAGTCGAAACGTCGCTAAGATGCCCAATGAATCCCATAGTGACTTTGAAAGGAAACTAGATACGGGACCCAGGATGGATGTCCCCTAACTGGGAAGCGTCAATATTTCTAATCAAGTCAATGAACTACATTTAATTATTATCCATTTATCAATGCTGGGAAAGTGCTGCTGTGAATACAAACATTTTCATTGACAAATATCTTACAAGTGATAGTCAGCGATCAATGGCGGCATCTTTTGTCGCCAGCGAAACACCGGAAAGATTAAACTTAATTTCGAGATAAAACTAGATTATTAATTAAAAAAAAAAAAGCAAACAAATATGGAATTAGAGTGAGTTGGACAATGCGATGGTAATAGTTAGAGGCTTTTCCGGGCAGGCTTGGGAAATAAAAAAGAAAAGCAAACGTAATATTTGTAAATTTAAACAGAACGTCCATCACGAATGAACAGAGTCTCTTGTTGTGGTTCGGATAATATAGCCAGAATATTTACTAATTCATCTTTGGCAAATTTCGTAACGAGTGGTAAAATGCCTTTTGTCAGTGAAGGAATAGGCCCGCGATTGCCATAGACGTGCACCCTCTCAAAAATAGACCAGTAAGCGCGACGAGGTCAGCATGACACCATTGATGAAAATAGAATGGTTAATTAAAAATAAATATTACGTGTTTACATTAACAACTGATCTAGCAAATGACTGACATGATGCCCCGTTCTGGAAACAAATCTTTTACACTATTATACAGATAAAAAACCTATCCTCAATCCAATCCCTAAAAAATCACACTTTTCCGAGATGGTATACTTCTATGAGAAGCTAAGTATTATGTAGAACTACTGCCCCACTCGTCAAAAGTTCTGGAAAAGCGTCCATCATTAACACCATCACAACCACCAGCTGCTACTAGTTGAAAAATTAACTTAAGAACTCGCCATAGTCGAAACTTACTTATTCGTAGGCTTGAATCAATATATATTTGTTATTAGCTAAAATAGTTCCGCAACAGCAGAAAAATTAGGCTTATAGAGTATCTACCCACAACTAACCCCTACAGGTTAGCTTGACTAGCTTACATTCATAGCCAATCAGTGTATCCATATTCATCTAACGATTAAATTAAGCATAAATAAAAATATTCAATAGATGGTCCATTAGACGCTAAACTTAAACGATCCACTACGAACAAGGCTAACTTACATATTTACGGTTGAAATGAAGCAGAAGCACGCAATGATATTGGTCAGCTGTAAGAAATACTTTATACGTTACGCAAAAAATCCTATGCCGCAGACTGAACTCAGGTCTCTTTGAATGTTTCGTGTATCTAGACCCAGGCTCAGGGGCTTCTTCGCGAACGGAATCTGGAGTCGTTTCTGATATATTTCTCCAAGGAGTCAGGTCGGTTTTTTATCAGAAATAAACTCGAACGATATTAATCGTTAGCTACTAATTGTCCAATATTTACTGGATATTGATATTGATTTTTGATAAAATCGTAAAGCTAAGATAACACTAAAGTTCAATTATGACCGTCTAACTTTTGCAGAACACTGTTGTTTATGTGCCGTAGAATTCCCGAACATGACTCATTTTTAGCCTTTATATAAGGCCATCTTGCGTTGCAACATTATGCATAATTTTACTTTTGATTGAAGTGTCTGTGAAAACATATGTGAAGTTCCCACGCCTATACGGCGATTGTAGGAAAGAGGAAACGTGTAGTCCTTCGTGCCATTATCAATTGCGGTGCCTCAGTATCTATCCACATAGCGAAAATATAACCGAGATCGCGGCAAAATAATTAACTGTGACCAAACATAGTACTTTGAATCTCAACCGGCTATTCAACTATACGAACTTACAATGCTGTGGCATCATCTATCTATACACATCTTGCTTATGAATTGTACATAATAAGACCTTTGGTTCAATTTCTTGGTAGCTACGGATATTTCTTATTATTAGGGCTTTTTCTTCGCAAAGTTATCCTTGGGTCGAAAGCACCTGTGAGCAAGTTTGAGCCCCTGTGCCCCGAAGAGATAGCTTGCAGTAGATAGCTATGATGTTTTTACCCCCCCCCCCCCTCCCCCCGATAAAAATGATATAGATCGTATAGGCTTTTGTTTGTTAATCTGAAAATGCTACAAAAACGCATAGTGAACACGTCAACGTTTTGACGGCGAAGCGAAGGCCACCAATTGCGATGTGCTACTTCCTGACATCATTTCGTCTAGGCCAGCCATAATAAACATAAAATTCTCATATAGACATAAAAAAGAAAAACTGTGGATACAGAATGCAGCGTCTCTTTTAGAAACCTACCCCCATCTTCAGTGGCTATTATCAGTGTACGATAGTATATAGAATATTCCACGATTCTTTGGGCATTGTAATAAATACCAAAGGGGAAGAAGCGGGAAAAATGTGTGTGCAATATATACAAGTGTCAAACTGTGTTTTCAGATAGGTCTGAATAGATGGCATTTCTGTGTACTGCCATCGAAGATAATTCGAGGTGATGGTGATACTCGATATAACCTCACAACATAGTAAAGGCTTACGCTCGCAGTAGATTGACATTAATAAGAATTCAG